GGGGTATGGGGAAGGAGATGGGAGCTCCTGCCTTGCTCCCTGCAGCTGCACCCCCTCGGCCACCCCGGCCGCAGCGCTTGCACCACACCGGCGGGAGAAACAAAACAAGCATCTCCAGGGAGTGTGTTTGGAAAATACCAAGTTTATTAGACAGACTGATGTTCAAGCTGACAGTTTTATCCCAATGCACACGATCACGGGCATCTACATGGGCCTGTGTCCCAGCTCCCTCTCTCCTGCGATGCTCTTGGGCAAGATGCTCACCCCACCGGTGCTGCGGGTGCAGGGGCTTGGGGTTTTCTTGGCCAAATGAAAAGATCTACCTGCTCCTCATTTCCACTCCCAGATTCCCAGAGCTCTCCTAAGAAAGCTTGGAGAGGGCTAGGCTGGGGACTGCAATCCTCTTGGGACTGACAACCACTTGGATCCATGAGAGCGAAAGCATCTCGATGTCAGCGTCTGCCCGAGCCTTCACGGAGCAGAGTCAGCGTGCGTCACAGGGAGCAGAAAACAGCCCCAGCTTCAGACCACCGCTGCCACCGCTTTGGAGAGAGAACCCTAACGTACCATATTGGCGGGGGGAAAAGGTTTTGGCTGTCACAGAGAAGCCCCATCCAGGACACGGGCACCAGGGCTTTGCACAGGGCGTGCAGGTGCTGAAGGGAGGAGAAAGGGAGGAGAGGAGGCGATGCGTGCTGGAGGATAAATAAAATAAAAGGAAAACAGAGAAGGGATGGGGAGAATGATGGGAGCAACCTTAGAGCAGAGCCATGGTGCCTTCAGGTTCAAGGGAGAGTCAGAGATCCTTCCTGGGATGCGGAGCCTTTCCCTGGGTACCCCAGAGCCCACGGGCTTTGGGGGGACAGGGCAGCAAGGAAAGAGATGGAGCGATATGGCGCTTGCAAATAGAAACGTTTGATGGCCTTTGCTTGCCGTGACAGTGACACGCAGTGTGACAGCAGGAACAGTGACAATGTTAGCCCGTTTCTGTCAGTGCTTCTATTCCATTAGCTCTTCAGAAAACCATGCAGACTAGCCCGGCGGAGGAGAGTGAGAGGCGAGGAGGAGCTGGTGAGCAATGGGGTCACGTACAAGAAAGGAGAAGGAACAGCAGGTGTGGGCAGCAGCTCTGGGGCAGGTTTGAGACCTCGCGGCACTGACTCACGAGGACGTCGCTTCTCTCTGGGCTGTTCTGGCTGCTGCTTTCTCTGACACCCTGCCTGCCTTCCCTCGGACCTCCAGTCCCCTCTGCGCTGCAGGCAAAATCCCTCTGGATGAGCCATACCCCATCCCATGCTTGGACATAGACTTGGGTCTTGCCTTCATTAGTTCAAATGTAGAGTCCTACCTCGAAGCAGAGGCAGGGAGCATGGAAGTCCCTGGGGCGGCATCTCCCCAAACTCACCTGGACTCGAGGGGACCTCTTCTTCGCAGCTCCTGGCCTCAGTGCTGGGGAACGTGGAGCTCCCACGGACCTTCTGCCATAGCTCACATCCCCTTGGGCACGTGGAGACGAGGGGCACTGCCCTTTGCACCCTTCCCATCACAACAGAGCCTTCCATTCCCAGCCTTCTCTTTCCACCTCTTTCATTCCTTTTGCCTTTTTCTTGCCTCAGCCGGCACCTCTACTTCAGCTTGTTCCTGTTGAAGATAAGTCCCTTTGCTCCAGAAGTTTCCTGGAGAGCAGCACTAACTGTGGTCATTTGGCAGGAGGAAGGAGAAAGGACGTCCTCAGCCGGCACCTCTACTTCAGCTTGTTCCTGTTGAAGATAAGTCCCTTTGCTCCAGAAGTTTCCTGGAGAGCAGCACTAACTGTGGTCATTTGGCAGGAGGAAGGAGAAAGGACGTAAAAAAAATCGTTGGCGGGCTCGAAGGCACCAATCTCCATCCAGGGCAACATCTACCCCTTGGTGATGTTCATGATGTTGATGTTGATGATGATCTACCCCTTGGCAGCCAGCCGTGCTGTCCGTGAGGGCCAAGTGGTGAGGCCACCTCTAATCCCCTGGCTTTCACTGACAGGTTTCAAGGTTGGCTGTCCATGGGGAACCTCATCCTGCTCGGGTGCTTCCAAAGCAATGCTCCTTCTCCTCCCAGGACCAAGTGCCAGTGTGTAGAGATGAGCCAACAAATGGCTAAAATGGGGGAAGGTTGACAAACAAGCCACAGAAATCTGCCTGGATTGTCCTAGGGAGAACAGACCAGCAGATGGGCAAAAAGGATGCGGCCAGTGACCCCCTGTTCCTGCCTCCCACCACAGAGCACAAACCCACAGGGGTCTGACTGAGAAAACAGCAACATGGACTTGAACAAAGTCAAACTGCCAAACCCTTAACCCTCGGAGCCCTGCTGATCCGCAGGTTTGACTTGCCGGCACAGGTTTTTGAGGTTAATGGCAGATGCAGGCATGAAGTGCCCTCTCCCTGTGCTGGCCCAGGAGGAGGAAAACCTGCTGACGGCTCCTTGCGGGACTGTCTTGATTTGGGGTGCTGGCCCTGCTCTTCCAGCACAGCTCAGCCAGTGCTGGCAGCTTCTTTCCAGCCCACTTCTTCCTCTGACATGGACTTGCAAATCCCACCGTGGCTACCTGTCTGGAGCTACAAATGTCCCTGCAAAAGCCCCTTCTTAAGGCGAACACTCAGGTGAAAGCTGCAGAAGTTCAACTCAGCTGTTAGATGAAAGGAGAACTCACCGGGCCACCTAAAAGTCTCAGAAAGAAAAACACGATCAATATTTGCAGAGGTTTGTAGGATGTTTGTGCCTGAAAGCAACAGCTGGGACCTGGCCTCTCTTTCCTTGCCCAGCGCTTTGCCCTGGGGCTCCCGGTGACGCCGTGGGTTAGTGTGTCACCACTGTGCTCTCACGCCGTGCCGTGCCCTCGTTCTCGCTCCCTGCCGGCTTCGGGGGTGCAGAGGTTGAAATTCCTGTTCACGCACTCTTGGCACCAGTGAAAAAGCAGCTACAGTTCTAGCTCACCGTGCATTGCTCATACTTACAGCTTAAACATTGCCTTCTACTCAAAAGAACAAAGATAAAATGTCAGGAATTCACAGTTTTTATTCTCTTTCTTATGCCCACCCATCTTCCCCTGCCATCGATGTCAATGACTCAAAGTCCTCATCGTACAGTAGCCTTTGCCAGTGTGGCACTCAAAGGGTTAACAAACCACGGCTTCTTGGACAGATAAGACATAAGCTCATTCACCAGTAGGAACACGCGGATGGTTATATTACAGAACACCTTAGGGTTTCCTGTAGCGATTCTTTGGGGTTTCGCCACAGCCAGTGATGTCGCAGGAGAGAACGTTGGGCTTCTTCCCCAAACCGATGCTTCCCAGGAGATCGGGAAGCTCCCGAGTGATGGCCTTCTCGATCTTCTCTAGGAAACACCCTCCCATGTAGGAACACTGCTGAGACAGCAGCTTAAAACTGGTGATGGGGTTGATGCCAAAGAAGTCCTTGTAAGCCTCGCGGTTGGGGAGGTCAAATTTGCTGACGTTGGTCTTTGCCAGAATGGACTTAAAGATAAAGAATTTGTCAGGATCTTCCACAATGTCCCTGAACACCAGTTCTCCATCGCTAAAGAAGGTCATTTTGTCCTTGTAGGTCTGTAGATAGCGATCGACCAAAAGGGCGTGGATGCGCACCCGGATGGCGTGCTGGCGTATGAACGCGATCTTATTTTCCATCCTGTTCTCAATCACCTGGTTGAGATCTTCCAGGAGCGATATCTCTTCTTTGAGGAACAGGTCTTTGTGGGTATCTGGATGGTATTCCTGGGGCCAGAAGGAGCTAACGTACACCCTGGGTGGTTCCGTGACGTTGATGAGAGGAGCCAGGCTCCAGAATAAGGCACCGTAGACTCTCATGAGCTCCTGGGTAGCCAGGCTGTCGGCTTTGTTCAAGATGATTCGGATCTGAGACTCGCGACCCTTCAGCTGGCGAAACAGCATCTCCAGCTCCAAGCCCACGTCCAGCTTCGTAGGGTCAAAGACAACGAAGATGAGATCAGCTCTGTCAATGAACCACTGGCACACGTCGTTGAATGGGTAACCTTGAGGAGAGAAAAGACAGAAATCCAGCAGAAATGGCCAGCACAAGAGGAGTCCCTTCAGGTCAAGGGATAGATAAACCTTGAGCCTGCCGTGCCTCACACCCTGTCTGGGTTGGACAGGGTGTGAGACACACTGGACTTCCCATGTAGCCTAGAACCTGTTTCTCATGTGCTAAAAACACTTCAGAGTTTCTTGGCATGAAAATCACAGAATCACAGAATGGTTTGGTCGGAAGGGACCTTACAGACCATCCAGCCCCAACCCCCCTGCCATGGGCAGGGACACCTTCCACCAGACCAGGTTGCTCACAGCCCCATCCAACCTGGCCTTGAACACTTCCAGGGATGGGGCAGCCACATCCACAAACCCATCCCTGTGTGCCTGGGCCTGCAACTACGCGTTTCCCTCGGCCTCGCCTCCGAACCTGCTTTCTCCCTGCTGCTGGCCACTGGTTCCTGCTGCTCCCATGAGCAGATACTGGCCACGTCATTGTTTTCCCCAGTGGGCACCAAGTGGGTCAAGAAGCTCTGCTGCTCTGTCCTGGCATCCCGGGTGCTCTGGGGATGGACTGGTGCTTCTCTGGGCCCTGTTGTAGCACCAGCCATTGGCAAAGCCTGACTCCAAGGGTGAGAAATGGGGCATTAAATGTTGAGCTGAGGCAGGCGATCAACAACCCAGGGAGTCCCCAGGAAACACCTTGCTGAAACGCCTCTCTGTCACACCTCCAAACAGCAGAACTGGCTGCCGTAGCTGACGACACTTGGGTATGTTCCCCAGGTCCCAGCTGCTTCTGCCGTAGCCATGGGCAGACAAACGTCACCATCCCCTCCGGTGCAAGACCCCTTTTGTAGCCTAAGGCTCTTCCCCCTTGTGCTTCAGCCATCGTTGTCACCTCACATCGTTACGGCATCGTTTCTGGAGTCCCTTAGATGAACCCGGTAAACCCCTACCTCGTTCTTGCTGCTTGCGGTTTTCAATGATGCCCGGCGTGTCCACAAAGGTGACTCGCTCCAGCAGTTTGTGAGGTACCTCGATCCCTATCAGCTTCTCCAAGAAGTTCTGCCCAAACTTCTCCAGGGGCGAGAAGGAGCGGGCGCTGTCAGCAGCCATCACGATGCCCTCGATGGTCTTCAGCTTGGGGCCGTGCATGATGACAGTGAATTCGGAGGTGGTGGGCTCTGCCCCTGCCCAACAACGAGAGGAACAGAAGAGCTGTGAAATCTCTGCTGGGCAACGAACGTGACAGGGCTGGCCTGAGACTAGCCACAGAGCCCAGGAGCGTCACTGACTTGCCAAGTGATGTGGAGGGAAGGCAAGCGGCAGGGCTATGAAATTCTTGCCAAACCTCTGGAGAAAAGGCCAGCAGGGCTGTTTTCTGTGGGGTCTGGTTGTTCTGGAAGTGGCCTGACTGCACAAGGCGTCCTGGAGAACCACCTCCGGGGAGCCCTCATCGCCGCGGCACAGAGCTGGCCACGGACATCTGCCCTCAACTGCGAGACGACATCCGTGGGAGCAGGGAGGAGGGAAGGGGAATGGCTTTTTTCCTGGGAAGGTGAATTAATTGGCTCCACGTGAGGAGGGAAGGGGAGAAGACAAGGGTGAGTTGCCCTTGTGATGTGACAGCTGCTCTCGTGGTCGGGGTCGGAGGCAGTGAGCCCTGTGCTGCGGGATGGGGATGCTGTGGGGAGAGATGCCCTTCTCCTCCCGGGGGAGGGTGGACAGACCCTGGGCCGTGGTGCGGGACCTCTCCCTCCACATGGTACCACGACCAGGTGGCACAGACCAGATCGCAACCTCCCTGCCATAACAAGGGCGATTGAAGAGACGCGGCCGGGAATGGCTGACCGCACGGATGCAGAAATGCAGGTGCCAGCACACCCTTGGCAGAGCAGGGAGGGAGCGGTGAGCGCGGTACCTGTGTAGAGCTGGTAGGGAGTGTCGTCCAGCCCGAGGAGGTAGTTTATCATGGAGGATTTGCCGACGCTCCACGGTCCCAGGAATAGCACCATTGGCTTGGAAGTGATCTCCCCATCTGTGGAGAGGGGAAATAACAAGAGGAAGTGAAGAAACAATAGCCGTCGTCGCTGCGCCATTAACTCCCGGCCGTAACGAGCATCCCATCTGAGCGGTGCGGTGATGCTGCTGGGGAAACAGCCACCCTTTTGGGGCCACCAGCCATTCGCGAGCCAAGGCATCGCCCAGCGACCGGCCCCGGTGTCTGCAGCAGCGGGACTTCACCATGCTCTGCGGGGGACCCTACCTCACTTGTCTGACATTCTCTGAGGTTTGGCCCTTCTTAGACTACGGGAGGACTTGAAGGTCTTTTAAACCTTGTCTCGGTTTGGTTCTGGTTTAGCTGGAGTGAGTTTGGGGCTGGCTGCGGGGGGAGTGTTGTTCGAAGGCAGTCGCCACGAAGCACGGGACATGCGAAGGAGGTGGCCATGCCGCAACCAGGCGAATGCCTCGTGCAAAGGGAGCTGGCGTGGTTGAAGGAGCAACGCTCTGGTGCGGTGCTTG